TTAATCGGAGGCGCCCATACAGTGCTCTTGAGGAGGATCCGATCGTTGATTCAAGCCCGCCTTCCTCGGGACTCGCGTTGGTCCAGCCGGCCTGGGCCACTGCTTCGGATCTTGCGGAACCCGCCCAGGATCTTCGCTTGTGTTTGTCACAGGCTGCGAACCTCGAGGGCAGGCTTCTTAATGTGGAACATCTGGTGTGGCCTTCGACCTATGACACTTCTCTATCGTCGGATGGTTCCTGTGTTTACTCAGGGTTGTTTCGGACTTACTCATCCCCGCGGCCCCGCTTGGGTTCAAGCATACACCACGCAACAGCAGCTGCTTTCAAAAACTTTAGCTTTAGCTTTCTCTGCTTTACACGTGAGTCTGCTTAGGCTGTTAGCTGTCAGGACCACTTTTCAGCAGCTTTAGGAACACGCTTTTAGCTTAGGGACTTGCATGGACCTCGAGCCTGTGCCGCACAGCCCCCAGCTTCAAGCTGTTCTGCGTGACCTCGATAGGGACGTCCGGCAGTTTGATCTTCGCCTGCTTGAAGCTTGCCTCACCGACGACGTCAGAGGTCTTTGCGATAGGGTGTACGACCTGGAGGCTGAAAGTGCAGCCCAACGGGCGGAAATCGCCCGCTTACACGGCAGGGTCCAACGCTTGGAGGACCAGCTTCACCAAGGCCGCGGCTGGATTCTCCACTTGTCTGATAGGACAACAGCCTTGGAAGAGGTGACCCAAAGGCTTTCTATCAAAATCAGGTCCCTGGTGACTCTCCTTCGGGAGACGCTTTCAGAGACAGTGGCGCGGCTTAGGATCTGGTTCTAACTATGTCTGCTTCTGGTTTGGGCGGTGGTGATGCACCAGCTTTGCCTTCTAGCAGAGTGGCTACGGACATACTCTTGGCTGATTCATCGCCTTTCTGCACGGATGCTGACGCTTTGGAACTTAGGGACTCTTTTCGCAACCACTTTGCTGACTTTGCGGACCCTGAGTACCCTAATCAAGTGCCCTCAGCTTCGCCGCCCACTTTTGAGGTTGCTGATTCAGATGCAGAGGAAGCTTTTGAACCCAGGAGTAAGCTTCGACGCCGCTGGCTTCACCAAGCACATTGTGCCCCGGTGAATCCTCCCCTACCTATGGAAAACTCCCCAGGTGCATCCAGCGGAGATCAATCTTGGCAGCTTATAGAGCAGAACCAGCCGGAGGCCGAGACGCTTTCCTTTGGGGGGTTCACTTCAGGTACTTCGACTTTTCAGATTTTGCCGCTGCGATCCACCCCGCCTCGACCCAGTCTGTCTGCTACTTCGAGGGCACCCTCTTGGCGGGCTCCAAGGGTGTGCTTGAGGTACAACTCCCCCTTTCAGGTGGGGCACAATGGGCGTCAGCCTACGGTGGCTCGGCTTCGCCCACGCTCCCCCTTTCCAGCTCCGCTTCAAGCCCCCAGCATTGTGCCTGTTCAGCAGTCTACACCCCAGAGCTTCCCGGCGGCGAAGGCACTGCCGCACTTCGGCTTATGCGGCATATCCCACACTTCAGCAGACTCCTGTTCAGGCATCAATCTCCTTGGCCACACCGAGACCGGTCCAGTCCTCACCGGCAGCTTTGCGAGCGCCCTCAGAACTGCGCCCTCCGGCCTTGCGTGCTCCGGCAGATGGCATGCTGACAAGCAAGGACAACCACCAAGCATGCGATGAGCGCAACAAGGTTCTTTTCGACCAGCTTTGCAAATCGCATGGGGCCTACAGCGCGGTGCTCCAGCAGCTTGAAAGTAGCCGAGAGGGCGCCCTCATCCGGTCCCGCTTGCTCAACAAGGTTAGCGACACCACAGCAGCCCGCTACCTTCGTTCTGTTCAACTTTTCTTTTGTGCCTTTGAGGAGCTGGGCGGCAGCATGGAGGCCATAGATCAGGGGCTATTCCTCGATGCTTTCTTCGCTTTGTCTCGAGGTGCGGAGTCAGGTCCCCTTTCAAACAGCATCAACGTCCTCAAGGCGCTTCGGTGGTACAAGAAACTTCTGGCCATCGCTTGTTTGCCTGATTTGTATGGCACCGCTTTCAGCCTGCTCTCCAACCCGGCCGGGCAGGAGAAACGTGAGAGCATACCTCTCCCCTTGTCGTTTGTTGCTTTTCTTGAGCGAATGCTCCTGTCTGGCAAGGCAAGCTTGATGGACGGACTTTGGACAGGCTCCTTCCTGGTGGCCATTGGTGCTAGCCTCCGCTTTGCAGATGCACAACATGTTCGCTGGAGCACGCTTTGCATTAGCAACTTCACATTGAGAGGCATCTGTTACAGGACAAAGACGTCTAAAGGGGGCTGCCCATGGGGCCTCCTCAGCTTTGGCCTCTTCTCCTCCTCCGAGGACTGGGGCATGACATGGCTTCCCCACTGGCTGGGGGCACTGGACACTGTCTGGTGCGAGGTTCGCTCCCGCTTTGGGCCCCAGCCGGAACCCGACTGTCTATTTTTCCTTTGGAGCGAGACTGGCTTTGCAACCGCATCCTACTCCCAAGCCCTGCAGAAGCTTCGCTACCTGCTTACACTTTCGGGAATTGCACCAGCTCAGGCAGCCCAGTACACGCTTCACAGTCTCAAGACAACTTTCCTGTCTTGGATGAGCCAGCTGTCGATCCCACTTGCCTCCCGCTTCCTGCAGGGGCACCACAAGGCGCCAGGGTCGGCTCAACTTTATTCTCGGGACGACGTGTGGCCAGCTTTGCGTGCGCAGTGGCTGCTTTGGCGTTCGATACATGCCGGCTTTCGTCCAGCAAGACCATAGCACAGAGGCGGCCAGTCCCCGCTCGTTGAACCACTTGTGGACACTGCAGGTTTCCAGTGGGTGGAGTACTGCCCGGACCTCTCCTGCTTTTCAGTTGGCAACGACTGTCAGTCCTTCTTAGCTTTGGAGCAGCAGGACGGTGACCTCCGCGACGCCCGGGATTGCAGTTCTTCACGTTCCGGCGCCAAGCTTCCTCCCTGTGTTCGCGCTCGTGCCCAGGTCGACCACTTCGAGGACTCCGATGCTGACGAAACAGGCCCGGCTCGTGCCTCTTCTACCGCGACCCGCGCTCCGGAGGTCGATCCCACATGGCAAGCTGAGTCCGGTGAGGCCCCTAGCTCTTCACACAGTTCACAGCCGCTTGCTGCTCCCCCCGCTCAGGGACTCCGCTCTAGTTGCAAAGAGGTACGGTACCTAAGAGTGTGCCTCTGGGGTGGCACACTCTTGCATTTCCCACCCCGGCTCCCGCATGACTTGCTTGGCCTGCAGAGACGCTTCTTGCGAAGTACGATGCCACCCCGCTTGTGGATGCATCTCAGAATGTTCTCCTTTTGTTCATTTTCCGCCCGACTCCCGCTTATGTAAGCGGCGGGCTTGCGTTATGGCCTCACTGGATGCAGCTTGATATCAGCCTGCTCTGAAAACAACCGACGTTTTTGCACTGCATTTCGCTTGCATCAGTTCTTGCACGTTGACATCCTGCTTGCTTGGAGTCCAACAACTGTCTGTTCATCGTTTTTCAGCTCGAGATGCGCTTTAAGCCCACTTTCTTGCCTCCTTGGGTCATGGCGAAACTTTCCCCGGAGTACGCCTTCACACTCCTTAAGACCATGACTGACGAGGAGAAAACCCGCTTTCTGAAGCAGTTGGAGAGCGACCCTCTGCTTCCCTCATCCACGACAAGCTCATCCTCGGTGGAGGCGCCCGCTGTGCAACCCGTCGCAGCACTTATGGAAGACCCCATAGGGGAAAACATCGCCGCCGAGGATTACAGCTTACCTGCAGCGGAGCCAACAGCTTTACCGTCCCCACCGGCCAAAGCTGCACCCGCTGACAGCGGAGCAGCCCGAAGCAACCCAGGACGGCAGTGCACCCGCTTCCGGGACCACTTCAGCTGGCACCAGGGGCAACGGCGCCGCGGGTGGTGGAGGCGATGGCGTTGCCAATGCAAAACGTTGGCAACGTGAACCCGAGGTGAAGGAACCGCCGCCACGGCCGCCCTCTTCACCGAAGGCGAGTTCGACAACCCCTGCACCGACTGAGAGTGTGGCAGCACCGCCCGCCGAAGCCCGCTTCGGCATCAGGTGCCCCCGCTGCACCCACACCGAGTGCCCCTCCTGCGGCCAAGGAGAAAGCTCCACCGCCTCCGCTTGCAGAGACTGGCGCCACCGATGGCAGCGCAGGCACCACAAGCCAGCCAACGCCCGCTTCGGCCACGGCCACGGCTACTCCGTCGGGCAACAGGGCCCCACTTCTGGCGAGCGATGCCCCGGCGAACCGCTTGGGGCACACCATCTACGACAGTGACACGCTTCAATTAGTCCAGCTTTGGGCCTGCCGGAAGCAGTGCTCCCAATGCTCGCTTGGACACTGCCAGGCGACCTTTAGCGACCGCTCCAATAGCTACCACACCACCCACTTATGCAGAGACTGCAAGAGGGCTCGTGGTAGAGAGCGTCAGGAAGCCGCTTCACAATGGAGCCAAGGCTATGAAGAGTGGGGGCAGAACCAGTCCGGATGGGAGGATCAACCCGCTTGGGGATCCTGGAACTGGAGTGGCCGCAACTGGCAGCATCAATGATGCTTTGGCCTCCGCTCCACGCTTTTGCCGGCTGTGGCATTGAATCGCTCACTTTTGGGCTTGCCCATATGGATCAAGGGCAGCCCCGCTTGGGCTTGTGGGCAAAAAGCGCCCGGCTTCACCGAAGCCAGACATACTCGAGCTCCGCTTCCCGCTTGAAAAAGAAGGCAAGCCCGCGTGCCGCCATCTTGCGAACAGTTCACGCTTTGAACATTTGGTTCGCTTCTCACTCTTGCTTCCCGCTTGGATCAAGAAAGATTTCCGGCCCCCCGCTCCGGGTAACCCTCGCTCCCACACTACAGGCCACAGATGCCAACTTGTCAACCCTAGAAAACTCTCTGCCTGCTGCAGGACCACCAGTGGCAACGCTCCACCCTCAGCTTCAGTGCTTCTTTTCTTTTCGGCATCATTTGCACCTGCTTCAGGTCAAGCGAAGATGTCTGACTTCACACAACTTGTTGCCGAATGCAACGTGCCAGCAGCTGTCTCTTCTTTGCTTTCAGCGTTCGACGTTGCTTTGTTTGCCCGGTCCTGTACCACTTCGGCAGAGCTTGAAGAGTTGGTGAACCACTTTCTGGCAGAAGCCTCAGTCACGGACGCTGCTGAGCGCTTTATCACCAAAGCTTCGCTTCGCTTACTCTTTTGCAAGTGCCGGACGTCAGAGGGCATGGCGTCCCTGGAAGCCGCGCCCACTCCCATCACACCGCTTGGTGAAGGGCCTCCGGCTGCTACCCCGGCTCCCCCGGCTACACCACCGCTTTCCAGGAGGCTTGGCCTGCGAAGCTGAGTGGGGAGCGAACGGCGGCGCTTAGGAAAAGGTTCGAGGAGGACTACCCCACTGAACTTCTTGATGCCGAGAGCTTTCCAAGCGCCCGCTTATTGGCCCTCACCAATAAGATGCTTTCTGACAGGAAGTGCGCTGGATTCCTTGGAAGTATCGCTTAAGCGCCCGTGCTCAAGAAGACAGTCTCCTCGTTCGGCCCAGGAAACAGGCCCGCTTTGACCTCACAGAGCTTTTTCTGGATGAGGCGCCTACACGTGACATACATGAAGGCCCCGCTTCCTTTGGCCTTGTCACTCAGCTTCTGTCACTGGCTGCCAACGCCATTGAGCTTTGCCAAGGTGCACACCTGGGCTCTCTGAAGCTTTATAATAAACGCTTCATGAGGATCTGCTTCACCAAGTACGAGGCCGCCGCCAGCCTACGAGGTCCCACTACCATGGAAGCTCAGGCCGCTGACCGCCGCTGTTGGGAAATCATCGCCGACTTAGTCAACGTGCACCACTGGAAGTTGGACGATGCGCTTCACGAAGTGGCCGAGGTGCGCTCCGACATGCACAGCCTGCTTGCACCGAGGCCCTTTATCCCCAAACCGAAGTTCGACCTGGACAACAGTTGGAAGGCCCGCTTCACAGGCAACGGTCGAGGTGGCAAGGGCGGTGGCCGCGGCGGCAAAGGCCGTGATGGCAAAGGCGAGAAGGGGGACCGCTTTGAGAGAGGGGGCAAAGGTGGCAAAGGCAAAGACAACAAGCAAGCCACCCCCCCCGGCAAATGGCTCTCCACCCTCTTCATGGATGGCAAACGTCAGACACTCTGCATGAGGTACCAGAGTGGGCAGTGCAAGGACCCGGCCACATGCCGCTACCTGCACAGATGCGCAGTGCCCAAGAGTGACGGCACAGCTTGTGGAGGCAATCACACGGCTTCGCAGCATGTTGCCACCCCGCATTAGGAAACCCACTTCAGCGAGCTGCGGGAGGTCACGACCGTCCCGCTATAGTGTGCCTGCACAACCGTCAGGCTCCGCAGGGGCCACTTCGGCACTGCCCAAGGCACGTGCCCCGGTCTCCGATGCAGCATCTGCACTCAGTGAAGGCTCTCTCGACTTCGCTACTTGCTTGGAGCTTCTAGCGCAGTACTTTTCCATTCCCTTCGCTTCTTCTTCTCACTGCCCTGACAATGCCATTGCAGCCTCTGAAGCATATTTCAATTTGGGGGCTTTCGCTTTTGACAATGGTGCAAGGTCGGGCATCTTTCAGCGCACAGAGCAATTTTCAGACGTTCTTCGATTCTTGAACGCTTTTATGCAGCTTCAGTTTCCCGAAGCCTCCTGGAGCTCCCTCTGCGTCAGCCACAATGTTCGCACCCGCTTACACACAGATTCTGGCAACGCTGCAGGGACACTGAATCACACAGTTTCACTTGGCAACTTCAGCGGCGGCGAGGTCTGGCTTTGCCCCGCTTTGAACCAGGCGGCCCCTCAAGTACCGGCCCCCTTGGATGCCTCATCCGAGGCGCACAGTGCTGTTGAAGCTGGTACAGGTGAGGTGCGGGACACTTGGCACGCGCCGCTCTCCTTCAGCTGTGATTCGCTTCACTGTACGCTGCCGATACAAGGAGACCGGTGGGTATTGACTGCCTATACGTCCCTGGGCTTCCCGCTCCCGCCGGCAACCCCAGGTAGCCCGCAGTCAATACCGCCCCCGCTCAAGGGCACGACATGTGTGGAGCTTTTCCTGGACATATGCTGTGGGGCCGCTCACCCACTTACCACGGCGGTGTCTTCATGTGGAATCACTTGTCTGCCCATAGATTTACTTGGCGAGGAGCAACTCGACCTGCTCAACGACGACACCTACGACCACTTGCTTCGGCTGTGTTTTGCTGGGATTGTCCGCTTGGCTCACGGATCGCCGCCTTGCAAGGAGTATTCCCGCTTGCAGCTTCGTCCAGGTGGACCTCCGGCCATTCGATCCCCGGATCATCTGAACGGCCTACCAGGGAACACCGCTTCGCAGCAAGCTAGGGTAAACAGTAGCCAGAAGCTTCTATATCGTTGTGTATGCCTTCTCAGAGCAGCTTTCTGTTCAGGCGCACATGTGTCCCTGGAACAGCCCACCAACGCTATGTCCTGGCTTGAGCCTTTCGTTCAGGACATGCTTTCCGAAATACAGGCCTCACTGGTCAACATCCCGGCATGTTCAGTGGGCCAGGACATAGCCAAATCGTGGCTTTTCGCTTGCAGTTACAGTGAATTCCGCTTTCTGGCAGGCACATGTTCGCATGAAGGAGGCCACCAGTCCGTCGCAGGCGCCAGGGACGAACATGGTAACTTTTTGTCCCAAAGGACGGCGGAGTACCCGTCCCAGCTTGCCGAGAACTTCTCAGCGAAGGCAGTGCACTTATTTTCCTCAGCAAGACCTGCTTACTCGGTTGCGCCCTGCTCCTTGAAGTTCGCACTGGCCTCAATTCCCAAAAAGCCGCGTTCATCAACGCCTACAGCCGCACAGGACGGCGGGGGCATCTACTCTTTGCCCGACTGGTCCCTTGGCCCAAGGTACCAATCCGACAGCTTACACGACCTGCGGAAGGAATGGCAATCTTGGCTGCTTCAGAACAGAATTCCTCTCCGGCTCCAGCGACATATCGCCGAAGCCAGCAATAAACCTCTTTTCTCAGAGGAAGAAACGGAGTGGCTTCGCTCTTCTTTCAAGCGCTTTTCGGATGCTCACTCCCCGTGCCAGGACTGGAACTTCTCGGTGAAAGAAGGCCAGCCCTACTGCTTGTCTGCACTGGAGCGCTTGAGTACCATGCTGGGTGACAAGGACACTTCCCTTTTCCCCGCTTTACAGAAGGGTGTCCCTACGGGGTTCGACGGCGACATCCCTCGCAGCCACACACTCCGACCTCGTGATCCCGACAACTCGGACGAACCCACGACCTGCTTGTTTGCGAAGGCAACTGGCAGGGGGCTGAGGCAGACCCAGCATTGCTTCAGGAGTTGATCGAGGAGGAAGTTTCTGCCGGCTACATAGAGGAAGTTCCCAGCTTAGAGGCTGCTTACGAAAGGTGGGGCAAAGAACGTGTTGCGGTGGGCCGTGTGAACATTGTCAAGGCCCCCGGTCGCTCTTCCCGCTTGGTTATAGACAACAGCATCTGCAACACGAACCAGAACTGCCATGTTCCTGAACAGTTTTCTTTGCCCAGTCTTCAGGACATTCAGTCCGCTTACCCTCCGAGGGAGGACGAGGAGCCGGTTTCTGGTTTCAGCTTAGATGTGAAGGGAGCGCACAAAACTTCACTTGTGCGCGAGAAAGACAGAGGCCTGCTTGGACTGAGACAACAAGAACGCCTCTTTTTCTACCGCGTCTGTCCCTTCGGGGCCACTTTTTCGAGCCACTGGTTTGCCCGCTTAGGGGGCTTTTTTGTGCGCTGCCTTCACCTACTTATCTGGCTGTCACACGTCCTCATGCTGTACGTAGATGATTTGCTTCTTTGGCAAAATTCTCGTGCACTTCCGCTTAGCACTTCTTTGGTCTTGGCATTCTGCGCCTGCTTCAATATACCGCTTAGTTGGCGGAAATTGCAGATGGGACCGTCTATAACCTGGATAGGTTGGCAGATCGACTTCAAGGCTGGCTGTTACACTTTACCGGAGCTCAAACGCTTGAAGCTGCTTGGCCAGGTGGGAGAGTGCCTTCGGCACCGACTTGTCAGCCGCAAACAGCTTGACAAACTCCTAGGTCTGCTTCAGTGGATTCTGCATGGTCTTCCTGCTTTACGCCCCTGGCTATGCACTCTGTATGATGATATGCATAGACCACTTGGCACCAATGTCAGCATCAGCCCAGTTGTTTGGCCAGGCATCCACTCTTACCTGGACGACAAGCTCCGCTTCACAGGTTGCCCCCCGGGCACGGGCATTTCACCTGGCTCAACTCTGCTTTCAGCTCGGCATAAGCCTCTTAAAAGTAAGGAAGACCTGGCTTTAGTCCCCGTAAGCACAAAGCGCATGTGGCTCCGAGTCACGGACCCCACTTCCTCCAAGCGGCGCTTATCTGAGTCCAGCAGAGAAACCCTTGCCTTCTTTGCCCACTTGAGCTCCAGGGACTGGCGGCCCAGGCCACTTCGACCACCACCTACTAGTTCGGTGGAGTCGGCCGCAGACGCTTTCGGCAAGGGCAATGATTGTGGCGTGGGAGGATGGCTCCTCCTCCCCAGTGGACGCCTGCTTTGGTTCGCTCACCGCTACACGGTGAAGGACTTCCTGGACCTAGGTCTGCCCATGCAAGCAGACGCTAACTTGGACATCTCCAGCTACGAGACATTGGCACAATGCTTTGTGCTTTTGGCCTTTTGGAAAGCCCATGGTTCCGGTCGCTTGGCTTTGACATTACCAGCTTTGAGCGATAACAGTGGTGCAGAGTCAGTGTGTAATAAGCTTTACACCTCCAAAGTACCACTTAATCTTTTCGTTCGCAAGCTTTCGATGTGGAGCTCGATTACCGGTGTCACTCTGGACTGCAGCCATATAGCTGGCGAGAAGAACGACGACGCAGACCTGCTTTCGCGCTGGGACGGCCTCACCGAGCTTCCAGCGAAGTTCCTGCCGTCAAACCGCATTGAGCTCTCGCTTTCGGAGTTCTGGCTCATACGCTTTCAAGTGACGCTTTTTCCCGCTGACGCCTTTCTGAAATGGCAGCTTCCGTCAGCTGACAGCTTGGGCCCAACAAACCGTGGCTCCAATAAGCGCAAGTAGCTCTGCTTTCTGCTTCCTCACCTCACTTCTCCACTTGGCTTCTAGAGCGTCTTGCGAGGTTTCGGCTTGCCAGTTTCTTGCTTGGGCTTTTCGACTGCTCCGCTGCTTCAGCTCAGCTTTCTATCGGAAGGTCAAAGACCCCGGATGCTTTCGAAGACAGAGCAGTGGAGTTTCCGGCAAGCCGAAAGAAAAGGAGAGAAGTGCGAGTGAAGCCACTGTTGACTTTTGCTTTCCGCTTTGCTTCGCAGTAGCCTCGTAGCCTTTTGGTGTTGCGTGGTGTAGTAATGTCCTGAACGGTTCCTGTGTTTACTCAGGGTTGTTTCGGACTTACTCATCCCCGCGGCCCCACTTGGGTTCAAGCATACACCACGCAACAGCAGCTGCTTTCAAAAACTTTCCCACCCGCCGACACCTTTGGGCACGCCTTCAGCGCAGGGAGCTTTTCAGTCACAGCCCGCTACTCAGTCTTATACCGCTTTGCTCTGTTTTGCTCTAATTACACTTCAGCTTTGCTGCTTCTTTGTTCATATGCTTACATGACGATACGGGCTTTTCGACTGCTCCGCTGCTTCAGCTCAGCTTTCTATCCGGAAGGTCAAAGACCCCGGATGCTTTCGAAGACAGAGCAGTCGAGTTTCCGGCAAGCCGAAAGAAAAGGAGAGAAGTGCGAGTGAAGCCACTGTTGACTTTTGCTTTCCGCTTTGCTTCGCAGTAGCCTCGTAGCCTTTTGGTGTTGCGTGGTGTAGTAATGTCCTGAACGCTGCGGATCGGTTTCTGGCTATAGAACAGAGGTTGGCTGCTCTATCAGAGGGTTTGGATTCTGTGTCGCTTCATGTCAGCCAGACTGCTTTGCAGACGGATGCATTGTCCTGGAGGTTGGATCGCTTGGAAACTCGTGTCAGGTTGCTCTGGGAAAACGTTGATGACCTGCGGTCGGCTCTGGGTCTATACTGGTTCCAACGATCACCGGTGATCCTCAGGTGGCGGCTCAGGCACTCTCAGACGCTCTTCCCGCACGGGTGGCACGGGCTGAACGTGCCCTCCAGTCATTGTCTCAGCAGGATTCGGCATCTGGGCACATCTCGCTTGTCGACCGAGTGGCTCGCCTCGAGTCCTTGGTGTCGCAGCTCCGACATTCTTAGCCTCCGCTCTGACTGACAGGTTGTGTTTACCGGGCATCAAGGCGATTTTGCACTGAGCTTTGGAAAATTCGGCGAACCGCTGGTTCTCCTTGGATCTTTTGTCTTGGCTAGCTGTGTCTGCCTGCCGATCAGCCTCTTGCTTTTACCTGTTAGCTAGGCTCAGGTTTTGGGGTGGGGTTGCGTAGCTCAGGGTCTCTCTGAAAGATCATGACCAGCCGCTGGCTGCCGGATGGAACGCCTCGCAAGCCGTCTCTTCCTGCACCTGTGCCGGCTCCGAACCCGGCTCTGGCTCCATTGCTGATCCCTAGGTGCCGTCGCGCGCCTTTGGCCTCGGAGCCCCCGGCTTCTTTACCATCAATGGCGCCGAGGTTTCGTCCTCCAAGCGTTGTGGACTCGCCTGAGGTCTCTGAGGGTGGCTTTGCTCCGCTCCGCCGTGCAAGTGTGCTGCCGAACCTTACAGCTTTTCCTCCTGCCCCGGCTCATCCCTACAAGCCGGCTGCACCGGGTACGATGTAATTGTCGGCTTGGCAGAATGCAAAAAATGAGCAACTTAAGGTGTGGCTGGCCCTGGCAGCCACTGCTGCTGCGGCTTCTGCAATGGTGGCGGAGCTCTTGCAGAGTCCAAACTCTTCGGTGCTTCTGGTGCGCCTGGTTCAGGCGAACGCTCCTTCGACTCTCACCAACTACTTCGGTCGTTGGAAACATTGGGTCGAGTTCTGTCAGGTCCAATCTGCGGATGAATGGGCACCCAAGGTAGCCTTCCTCTGCGATTTCTTGCTCACGCACTGCAAAGGACTTCTGGGGTCGGCTATCGCGTGGCTCAAGGCCTTCAGGTTCATCTCCACGCGGCTGGAGGTCGAGTCTTTCAAGGTGGCGCTACAGTCTGAAGCAGTGCGGGCCTTTGGCAAGTCCGTGAATGTGGTTCAGCGCAGGGAAACGGCCCCATTCCCGCTTTCTTTCGTCATTTAATTGGAAAGACAAGTGCTAGATGCGGCCCAGTCCGCGGCACATCGGATTCGGTGTGGCTTCATCCTGGTTTGCGTGTTTGCCAGCCTTCGTTGGTCGGATGCTCAGTGGTCTCCGCCTTCCTTTCTTCACTTGGATCGGCAGGCGCTTCTGGGATGCGCTACACGGACGAAAACCACCTCTCGATCCATGCCGTGGGGAGCTTGGGCTCCCGGGTTTCTCGCTGGGCCTCAATCGGTCCCCGGCTGGTCCAGGAGGCGGTGACCCGCACTTCGGCGGCTCGTCCAGGGTTTCAGCCTGACTTTCTGGTTGCCGATTTGGGTCCGGATGAACGTGCTCCTGTTTTCTTGGCTCCTTTGAGCCGTGCTGCTGGGGTGGTCCTGATCCGCAGACTTTTGGCGATGTGCTATGAGAGCTATCCGGCGGACCAACGGCCGGACTTGTCCCTCATTGGCGTGCACAGTGCCAAGGTCACCTTCTTATCCTTGGCTAAGCAGCTCTTGCTGGACGAAGCCTTGCGGCGAGAGCAAGGACACCACCGCCCGCCGTGACCCGGTTATACGGCAGCGATGATGTTTCCGGTCCCCTCTCACTCCAGTCTCCGGCCGCTGCGGCCGGCCCTCAGGGGCGGTGCTCCGCCACTCCCCGACGTCGCATTCTCTCTGCCCGCTCTGGAGCCGGTGGCCTCGGATGCGCGTTCCCCTTCGGTTGTGCCCAGGCTCCACGACAGAGAGCCGTTGGTTCTCGATCAAGATTCGAGCTCTGATTCCGAAGATGATGCTCCGGCGGCTCCCGAGGTCGAGTCCACATCCGCGGCCCCGGCCGCCGCTTGGGAACTGGTGTCGTCCGGTGACGTGGTTTCTTCACCGCAGGATCTTGGTGAGCCTGAAGAGTTTGAATTTTTATTTAATCCAATGACGTCAATTGTGCATCTTGCCAAGCCTTGCCGGGCAGATCATCCCGCTTGTCAGTTCCGCCCAGCTCCGGACGCAGTCGGGGATGTTCCTCTTCGACCGGGTTGCTCCATAAGAGGCAATCTGGCAATCGGAGCGTTAGTTCGGACATCTGAGATCCCGAAGGGTGCACGTTTGTGCTTGAAGCACGGGTGTGGGAAGGACCCCGCACTTGCATCCTTGTTGGACTCTTAGTCTCCTTTTGGGCGTGGTTTCCAGGCGTCGCCGCCTGCCTGGGGTTGCACGCTTGCACCTTGGGCCTCGCGCACGGTCGGAGCCGCTCTTGCCCGTGACTTGCCGGGATCGCTTTCCGGTGCAGTTTGGGTTGCCGGTTGCAGTGCGATTGGCATTGCGCGGCTCTAAGCAGGGAGCCAGACGAGCCCGGCCCAACCGGCCGTTTGCCTCCTACTCAACCTCAGGTTGCAAAAGCTGGGATTGCCGCTTTGTGTTGAATGCTCGGCGGTACTTCTCTGGCATTTTGCGGTTGCTAGCGTTTTTTGGCTGCTAGGGACTTGAGACAAGCCATGGCAGGATCCTCCGTCATGCTCGATGATCCGGCAGCTTTCACGGGCCTTCTTACTCGGTGGGCGGTTCCTGATGTGGTCAAGGATAAACTCCATGACGCAGGCTACAACACCATGGCCCTCCTGGCCCATGCTCTCCCTTCCTTGGATGACCTGGAGGCGTTCGTCGAAGCGTTACTGGGCCGAGCAGCAGGTATGGACCCGACGGTCCCCATATTCTCTCCGGAGGCGGCTGCTCTTCGTCGGGTGCTTAAAGAGTGTGTCAACCTGGCAGGGCCTGCTGGTGCTTCATCCCCTGCGGCACCGACTCCGGCCGCGGCCAGACCTAAACTTCAAGCTGCTGACGTCAATTCGCTTGTGGTGGAGTTCTCGCGCAAATACCCTTCGGAGCTGCTTCGCCCCGAGGTCATGCCAAGCCTGTCTTTCTTGAATGCAGTCAAGGATGCGGTTGATTCCAAGCAGCTCTCCTGGATTTCCTGGAGGCTCCGGACGAGTGAATCGGATGAACAGGCCCTCACGGAGCGATGCAAGCCACGCACTGATTCGCAGATGCTACAGTCCCTGCTTGGTCCTGTCTCGGATGAGCTGGTGGTGGATGTTCCGCAGAACCTTCCCCTTGAATCAGTGATTCGGCGGTACTTAGACCGCATGTCTTATGCCTTGGCTGTTCTCGATGCTTGCCACCTGCTGACTCTGAAGAAGCTCTCGGAGAAATTCGTGAGCCTGGCGACGGCCGTCCCGATTGACCGCTCCCTGCGAGGACCCACACTGGCTGAGGCCATGGATGCTGATCGTGTACTGTGGAGCGCTATCTGCTCTCTGCAGAAAGAATACGGCTGGTCATTGCAGGATTGCGTCTCCGAGCTGACACATGTCCGTTCGGACCTTCATAATGCTTTGGCTCCGCGACCGAAGATGCCCCAGGGTGGAGGTGATCATCGCAGCAAACGCCAGCGCACTGAGCCACCACCCGCGCCACACCCGAATCCTCGAGCCAAAGCCAAGGGAAAGGCCAAGCCGCGCAAGAGTGCGGATGCTAACTCCTCTAAGGACCGCATCTCTATCAGCAACTGGCCGAGCAACTGGGCTCGCCAAATCGGCGGGGTCGGTGCTTGTATCCGATATCACACGGATAAGTGCAGAAACAAATCATGCCGTTTCAGTCACAAGTGCCCGATCCTCGGGGCTGATGGAAAGCCCTGTGGGGCTGCCCACTCCGCCTCTGCGCATAATGCTGCCCCCCATTGACGGGCAGTGGTGGAGGATGGCATGGACCTTGATCCCCCGCCTGACTTTGCTCCTGCGGTCTCTGAGACCCCTCAGCCTGACGCTGAGTCCTTTGCAGATTCAATTTTGTCCAAATCAGTGGCCTTGTCGTGCAACAGCGTTGAGAGGCTCGCTGATCTTTTGATGCAAGAAGTACCCGACCTTGATGAACGGTTTTCCAGCGGGACTTCGGTCTCGGCAGGCTTATATCATCGAGTTAAGGTTGGTCTGCGCAAGGTGTGCGGATCTCATCCTTTGTCGGTGCGAGTTCTGAATTTGCTTATTTCTTCTATGGCACCAGGATTTTTCCACTCGTCTTTCGTCTTGATCGACGGCATTGCCTCGGAGGCACACTGTGACACAGCCAACTCGGACCTGCCAAACGTAGTCATCCCCATTTCTTCTTTCTCCGGTGGAGAGCTGCGGGTTGCGCACCACTCCGGGGCTGATATGATGGAGCATGACGGCAGCAGGTATCCGGCAGTCTCCCTACCGGTGTGTCGTGGCCCTGTGGTCTTCACTGCATCATCTTGCTTGCATGTGGTTCTGCCCTTTGAAGGTCGCCGTCTGGTTTTAGTGGGTTACACACTGCGAGCTTGTGAATCGCTCTCCGCTGAAACTTCTGCCCGCCTCGTTTCCCTAGGGTTTAGACCTCCTTCCCCTCCGGTTGTGCAGGCGGCCTTGCCCATTGCTCCACGCGCTCTTGCTCTGTCTGAGGAACAGCGGGCGTTGCTTCCATCGACCATTTACAGCAGTGCGGTCGGCGCCGCCACCCCGCTTCAGCCAAAGATTTGCCCGGACCTGCCTCCCCTCCCCGATTCGGACTTTGATTGTGAAAGCATCTCGGGGCGTTTCTTCCTGGATATTTGTTCCGGGGCTGGGGCTCCTGTGAGTGCGGCTATGCAAGCCTTGGGCAAAGACTGCTTCCAACCGGTTGACATCATTCATTGCCAGGATTTGGATCTTCTGGACGATGCCTTTTTTGCTAGACTTCTAGCGCTATGTTCTAGCGGCGTGGTGGGAGCGGCCATTGCTTCTCCGCCCTGTGGAGAATTCAGTGTTCTCAAACTTAGGCCGGGTGGACCACCCCCGTGCCGCACACCGGCGGAGCCACTCGGCTGTCTCTCCAACGACTGGCGTCAATCCGTGGTGGCCCAGAACAGTGCCTTACTTCATGATCGGTGTAGGGAACTTCTCTCAAGTGTGGCGGCTCTCGGAGGCTGCATCGTGTTTGAGCAGCCTCCATCATCCATGACCTTTTTGACGGAGACCATGCAACAGTGGGTGGCCAGCACCCTCTCTTTTGGTGCCCAGGTTGCTGCGTGTCATCACGGTATGGATGTGTCCAAACGCTGGCTTTTCCTGTCCAACCGACCGGAGATACTCGGCCTTGCATCTGAGTGCCATCATGGTGCCAGGGCGCACTTTGCTGTGTGGGGGATTCGTGCTGATGACGGCAGCTTCCTGAGTCGTGTGACGGCTGCGTATCCAAGTTCTCTGGCTAAAGTTTTGGCGGTGTCTTGGGACGTTATACATCCTCTCAGGGCCGTCTGCTTCCCTGCGCAGAGTGGCGCTCTGTCCTGCCCATAGATCCAGTTTGGCCTCAGTTGGGTCGTCGCATCGAGGACGGTGCAGGTGTTAATAGTACCGCGTGCTGGATTACACCCCAAGCCGACGACCACCTTGCGGGCCTTCGCAAGAAGTGGACGCAGCGCCTGGCAGACAGTCGGCTCTGCCTCCGCATTTGTTCCACACTGCAGGCTGGTACTGATAGGCCACCGATTAGTGACGAGGAGCTTCAGCCTTTTCTCAGTGACCTATGTAGCTTTTGCGCTGTTCCCGACAATGAGGTTGAGAATTTCCTTTCCATTCAACCGGGACATTGAGAAGCTGCTGGCGATTACTAAGGACCCTGAATCGGATCTCTGCCAGCACCTCCGGAAAGGCGTGCGGATCGGTGTGGACCACGAACTGCAACCCTCGCCTCACTGGCCGCTTCGCACTGTGGATCCGATTGTTTCAGATCTCGTGATTTGCGAAGGCTCTTGGAAAAGTGCATCCGACCACCCAGAGCAGGTCCGGGAGCTCCTGGCTCAGGAAATCGCGGAGGGATGGATCGTAGAAAGGCCTTCGGTTCAATACCTGCATGATCACTTCCCGGCGGTTGCCATTGGCAAACTGGGTCTGGTACTGGCTGAGGGTAGGTCCCCTCGACTCACTGTCGACAGCTCGATAAGTGGTGTTACGGCTGCCTGTCAGATTCCAAACCACATGCTGCTACCACGTATTTCGGATGTTGAGGATTGCGCTCCTTCCTGCCTGGGCCGCCATCCGTGGATCACCGTATCTCTGGATGTGCGAAACGCACACCGCATGGTCATGGTGGAGCACTGTGACCAGGCTCTGCTGGCGTTCACTTTTGAAGGCCGAGTTTTCATGTCCAGCACCCTTAATTTCGGAGCCAGAGCATCAGCTTTTTGGTGGGCCAGAGTTGGGGGGGCCTTACTTCGCTTGTCACACGCGGCGATTTGGCTTTCGCATGCTACGTTGACGACTTCTTGGGAGGTTTCCGTGGCGATGTGGCTCCGATCTCTGCCTCCATTTGGATTCTCTTACTCCTTGCCCTGGGAGTGCCGCTTTCTTGGTCGAAATGTGTCTGGTCGCCGGAGTGCATTTGGATCGGATGGTCCATCAACCTTGAAAGCTGGGTCTGTGAGCTGCCGCCTGCGAAAATTTCCAAGATTCTTGACCAAATTACGGATTTGCTCGCCGCTGGTGACAAGGTGAAGTTCAAAACCTTGGAATCACTCATTGGACGCCTACTGTGGGTCACGGGTTTGTGGACCGTGCTCAGGCCTTTGCTGTCTCCGTTGTATGCGGCCCTGCAGCGCTTGCCCACGTCCTCGGTTGGCGTCAGCCCTGAGCTATGGGCTGCGATCAAGCGCAACATTGCGGAGGATTGCGTGCTGACTCGTTCTGTTGGGCACCCGTCCTTCCACAAAGGCGCTTGCATTACCCGCGCTGCCAATACATTTCATTCGTCTCATCCAAGCAGGATCTTGATGCGGTTCCGTTCAGGAAGCGCCGCTTGTGGGTGGAAGTGAAGGATCCCGGGCATCCGCTGCGAGTCCTCGGGGATGCTGGCAGGTCAAGCTTAATTGCGTGGCGTGCCATTTTCCAGGGCACCCCTTTCCTGAAGGCGCTTCGCAGTCCAATCCCGCTGAAGGTCATTGCTGAGGCTGATGCCTTTGCCGATGCGGAGGTGTCTGGTTTAGGAGGCTACGCTATGTGGCCCAGCGGTCGCACAGTCTGGTTCTCTATCAGGAAAGACAGTCAGGAGTGGGCTGCTCTCACTTCGTTGTTTCCTCCGCCTCTCCAGGCGCATATTTCGGCGATGGAACTGTTGGCTCAATTACTGTTGCTCTGGTGCATTTTTGCCACTTTGCCATCCAATCGCGGGCTCTGTCGGGCCTGCCTTCGGTCGGACAACTCCGGTGCGGAGGCCTGTGCGTCCAAAGGGCTGTCCTCGGTGCTGTCCATGAGCGAGATTGTCAAAAAGTTCCTTGCATTTCAGGCGTGGGCTGGAGTCCAGGCTGAAGTCGAGCATGTGCCTGGGTATCGCAATGAACTTGCAGATGCATTGAGCAGGCTTACGCCTGCCGATGTTGCACCTCTGCCGCTGGGTGATCGTGTGCACCCACCACTGCAATGGCTTCTCGAGCAGCGGCTCGCGCTGGAACCTGCATCGGCCTCGTGGCCGCCTCCTTTCAAGAGTTGGCTGAGTAGATCCTGAGTGCTGACTTTTCGTTTTTACTTCCACTTGTTTCTAGGCTTGCTCGCCGGGCTGTGAAAACGCGTCGCCAGATGCCGCCCTGCTTTACTGAAGCCTTGTTGCAGAGCTGCTCTGTTGCCATGCCGTGCACGTGTGGGAGAAGTGCGGCCGGGTGATCTTCAGCACGCGTGCTGACGTCGATCATGCGTGTCGCCCCGGCCGTCATGTATGTTGCCGGATTCTTCTTTGCACTCTGATGCGGACTTCGAGCTCCGGCTTGACGGCGTCCGCTTCAGTATCTGTGAAGTTGACTGCTGCCGGCCTCGCTTGCCTTCCGCAGTCTTTTTGCTTACAGTAGCTCGGGTTTCCTCCCTTGGCATCAACATGTCGGGCCACTCTGTGGATTCTTCATGCCAGTCCGGTGCTGATCAGGAGTCGTCTCCTTATTCGGGGCCGGTTCTACGGGAGGCTGATCTTGGTGCGATGGGGGCCTGTCCCCCGCCCTGCCTCCAATGCGATCTCCTTCGTTCGGAGGTGCTGATGCTACGTGCTGAAGTTGCGAGCTTGCGCAATTCCAGCTTGGCGGCCCTCTGGGATGCGATCTATGCATTGCAGGGACAGCTCAACGAACTTCGTCCGCGTGGGGAGGATGATCATTTTTCCTTTGTGTTCACGGCGGTCGAGGAGAACACAGCGGCTCGCTTGCTGCGCTCGCCTCTGGCGAATGTTCGCTGCCTCCGCTATCATGAGCAGAGGCTTGATGCACTCGTGAACCTCAATGCTGACATCGAGCGCCGACTTCGTTCGCTGGACTTGGCATTGTCTCGTGCCTCAGGCTAGAGCTGACGCCAGGTTGTGCATCCGAGTGAAAACCAGCGAATGTGTTCTGCACTTCATGACATGTTTCTCGATTTACTTCGGGTTTTTTCCCCTATCCGGGTCGCGAAACGAGTTTTACTTGGCTTTCGACCCTTTTAAACCCTTCCCTCTGCCCAGTGCGTTTCCCCTTTCCCTTTGGAGCTCGGTCTCCACGGTGGGACGGGGTTTGAACGTTTGCTGCATTGGCTGGGGGTTTCGTCGGGTTGGTCGATCGTTGACTCGGCATCTCCTTTTCGAGAAAACATGTCGGTTTGGTGCGTGCACATTTCTCTATCTTTCGGAGTGGAATTATATTTCGATTCCGTCTGCTTCCATTTTGGAATATCTTTGGATATACTTAGATCTCTATATCTTTTGACTGGGAACTTGAACGTATACGGACTAAGAGGGCTTCAAACCAGGCATTTTGCTACTTGCGAACTGTGTGCAGGACATCGTCCTCTCAGGAACAGAACATCAGATCGCTAAGGCATTCCATAAGCACGAAGTCGCAGATCTTGATGACTTAGAGGATAACACTTCTTCACATCTTGCTAATCTTGCGAACTTTAGGAAGGTGCTTGCCTGCCCCTGTGCAGCGGCTCATCAGAGCACGGTATGTGTGCTTGCTCACGAGTGTTTGGTAATGTTTTGCATGCTTGCTGCATTTCATGACATTCCATGTCCATTGCAGCAAGCAGGCTCGCAGCTGCCAGCTCGCCTGCATCGCAGGCTGAAAATTTGTGTAGGCTTAACTGGCCTCTCGTTGTAAGCCCTCTAGACCAGGTCTGGAGGCCTCCAATCTGTGTGGAGTTTAGCTTCACTTCATTCCTCTCCCGCTCGCGATAGGGGGAGGAGTGCATGGTTTCAGGCAAGCTGGCTTTTGCAGTTCTCTGTTGCATTTGGCATTTCATTTGTATTATGGATCAGTCAGTGCCTGTGAGAGATTCGTCAGTGCCTGAGAATGGGGAGTGTGCTTCCTCTGGACATAGCAGTGCATTTTCAGACAATACACGCTGCATTGTCAAGCGGTTCCATAAGTGGACTTCATCTCAACAGGAGGCTTCCCCTACATTGGAGGCTTCGCCCTCTGCATTGGTTCTTGATGCGGTTGTGGCTTCCTCGCAAGGTGATCAGGCGGATGCTGACTTGCTCCCTGCATTTGCTTTTCAGGAACAGGTTGATCCTGCTGAGGCTCCATTGCAAGCACCTCTTGTTGTCTCGGACCAGGGAGTTCTGCAGGAGGACCAGCTGGACCTTGCCGGTCCAGCAGGCGAGTCGCGGCCACCTTCGCCGGTTTATGATCCGGAGTATGAGCGATACCTGTGTTTACTAAGTTTTGTTTCCAGCTTTATTTCGCAGCTTGTGATCCCGCGCTGCTTTCGGGATCAAGCTCGACAGCCAGCTCAACAAAAGCTTCGCTTAGCATGCTTGCTAAATTTTTCATGAGCTTTTCTAGCATGACAGCAGACTGCATAGCTTGTTTTGCATGGCATGTGCTTTCATATGCTTTAAGCTTCTGAGCTAGGACTTTGAGCCAGTGGAGCTGCATGGATTCAGAGGCAGATTTGTCTGCGCGTTTTGCTGCTTTGGAAGCCTTCTTTCAGACTGTCATAGACGCTCGGTGTTCTGTCTTGGAGCAGCGACTGGCTGCCGTGGAGATTACGAACCAGGCTGTGTTGAATTCTCTGCGGCACGTGTCGGGCGAGGTTGAGAACCTCGAGCACCGTTTTGCTGTTTTCGAGTTTGCCAACGGCCCCGTGAGTGAGAACGATTTTGCTGCTTTCAGGCAGGAGCTTCACGAGGCCCTGAATCAGCTTCGCCAACAGGTGGATCGTGCTGTGTCTGCTTTGCAATCACAGCCGTCGGCTGCCAGGGCAGAATCCGATTGAGTCCATCATGGCTTCCGATTCCTTTGCGAGCATTTGAATAACCTTGTTTCTGATACCTCGGAGGATGC